GGCTCTGAAGGGAACGGGCACACAGCTCCCCTGGGCTCTGCCTGAGCCTCAGCAGACCCTGGGGCACACCCCACATCACACACGGGCAGGATTTAGCTGCACTTACACCGTGCCAATGGGTATTTTGGATGGTGCTGCTTGGAAAGCTACCATTCCTCATTAAAAAAAGCATCGTGAAAGGACAGCCCAGGACTGTTCCTCTGCTTTCTGCACTTCACCAACTGGGGAAGGAGGATGCTCTCAGTGCAGTTACACCTCTTATCACTGTTCTGACTAAATTTGCTAAACTTATCCTGCTTGAATTGCTACTCCCAGGAAAATTCGTCAGTGGAGAATAAAAACAACATGCAGAGCCATCTTCTCAGGATAGAGACACATTTATCATTATCCCAGGATTCTTATTTTTCAATTTAATTGGTCTCAGAATGAACGGGGAAAGCCATAGTCATTGCAAACTGTCACAGATGAAAAAAAAAAAACCTCGTCAGTTCCATCCCTCAAAGATCTTCACAATGTGAATTGTCAGGTACCAGCAACATACTACCTTAATTTAATTCTATTTTCCTTCAGATTCATCAAAAGACCATCTGGGAACACAAACACGACCCCCAAACCATTCAAAAAAAAAGTGAGTGATTATTCTTTATATAATGGAATGCACTTTGTTCAACAGTTTTCCAGCTTCGTACAATCCAAGTCACAAACCGATGGAAAAAAGAGTTCGAAGTAAAATAAAGTTCAGGTAACACTGGGACACAAAAATATACAATGACTAGCACTTAATTATCACGCCTCATTCAAAAATTCCCTTTTATGTAGCTTTCCTTTTCTTTTCCAGATGAAGTGTCTGCTCTTTAAATAATTAACAGCCTGCTCTCTCCATGGTATTGGAAGAGGCACATTTGGAGGTGGCAAGGGGTGTGTGGTGGCTGTCTTTGATCAGGGGATGATCCAGCTGAGCCCTGATGAGTGCACAGGGCAGCAAATGCCAAACCCACCTCAGTGTCTGACACCAGGAACAACAACACAGGGATATAATTAGATATATAATTATGCCTGTGATTGACTCCATGGCTTGAGAAAGTTAATATTGCTATAAATCTTCTGCTGACCTCCTCAGTAAGGGACACCCTTCAAGGAAATTCTACCTTACATATAACATTACTTACAACCTTATCAATTTCCAGGGGTTTATAACCTTCTATTGTTTTTGATGATGACTGCCAAGGTATCAGAGTTCCAGCAGTGATGATGCTGCCTCTGAAGAGCTGCTCCAGGCAGGGCCAGGCAGGGTCTGGCTGGATTTTGCTCCTAAAAAAAAGTCCTTTCTGTGGTTCCATGCCCCTCCAAGGCGCATGCAGCAGAACTGCCAGTGTGAGCCAAGAGCAAAGCCAGAGGCCAGCACAGCCACTGGGAAGAGTATCAGGGAACTGCAGTATTTCCAGTTCCAACTGGGATTTATTAGGGAATTGCAGTATCTCCTGTTCAAACTGGGATTTATTAGGGAACTGCAGTATTTCCAGTTCAAACTGGGATCACACAGACTTTGCACGTGTTTGAGTCATGAAAAGCAAGCACAGCTTGCTCTTGCAGACGTGCTCCTGCAGTCCCCAAGGAGCTCCCTGCAGGAAGGGTCCATGCCCAGAGCCCAGTGGTGCCACCCAGCCTTGGAAGAGCCCTGGTGATGCCGGGGGGACCCAGCCCTCTGCAGCAGCCCGGGACGGGGCTGAGCAGGGAGCCAGACGGAGCTGCGGGGATGTTTGGAGCATTATGAACAACCAGCAGTTTCAGCAGCCCAGGGGCTCTGCGACAGATCTGGCTGCTGTTCCACAAGCCCCAGGCTATGAAGTTAAATCTATCCAATCTTCTGGGCAGGCTGCTGCCCGAGGGGCACCAGGGAGGCTGAAGCTCACGGAGCTGGTGATGTCCACAGGAGTTCCATCTCTGCTCGCTGAGGGAGCCTGACAGAAGCATCTCTGCTCTGTGAGCCTGGGGCTTGTGCTGCCCCACACACACTGCAGGAGGGAGGCTGCCAGGGGCCTGGCACCCCTGAGAGGAAATCCTTGCCCACCCCAGCCCTGCTCCAAGCCCACGTCCACACCTGGCTCCCATGAGACAACAGCTCCACAGCAGAGCCCCCTCCTGCATCACATGGGGGCTGCCATGGGCAAGCATTTCCTCTCAGCACTCACAGGACAAAGCGTTTTCTTTAAAGTCACATTCCTCAGGTCCCACTGACAACCCCCACCAGTCCTAAGGTGTGCTGAGCCCAGCCTGGCAATTAATGAAAGCATCCCGAGTCTACCAAATTCTCCCAAAGAGAAAGAGATGAAAGTTGACTTCTCCACAAATGTGAATTTATCATCTTGATATGCACTACATAACTGCTACAGAACAGCAAATGCCATCATTCCCTGAGCAGCGACATGAAAATTAATAATAAACACTCACGAAACGTCAAAAGTTAAAAATGTTTCTCCATCTAAAACACAAACATAAAAGCTGTGAGTTTGACTATTTCAAGTATTTCAAAATGCTAAATAGCTCATGACAGTCTGCCTTACGTTCCCTTTCGCTGTGGGAGGGAAGTGAGAAAGTCTTACTTTGCTGCAAGAGGCAAAATACTAACTTAGAAACACTTTAGCACTCCAGCAATGAACTAATGTTTGACTTCTTTCTCACATCCAAAGCTTTTTATTCCAATCTGGATTTAAATGGCACCCAACTTTTTCCATTGGCACTCTCCAGAAACTCAGCAAGAGGACGAGAAAGTAAGTGAGCCACAACAAGGGGGCACTGGGAAACTTGGTTTTCCTCAGAAGAAATCCCAGAAATCTGGGACTAGGACTGGACAGATCCTTGCAGCCAAACCAAAAAGCCATTTACTCAGTCTCCCTTTTGATGTCCCAAAGCCAAGGCCACTGCCACTTTCCTGGAATGATGCCTGCAGGTCCTCACACTCGGATTGATGAAGACAGCAGCTATTCCCCCACAATTCTTTGGTTTTTAACTCGTGGTGGTGATGGGATCCAAGCTGACAGAGGATGTTGGAAATGACTAGAGGAATTCATCAGCCACAGTGGTGACATAAAGCCTCTGAGGGCTACAACCTTGTACAGCAGAGCCACAGCAAAGATCACAACGATTTCACTGTCATGATGAGACATGGTTTTTGTGAGAAACCCAACTGTTGGGTCACTTCTTCTCCCGACAGCACTGGCAGAGAATGGGACGTCTGTGTTCCATCTGGATGGAAACTGTGAAGGAGAACGCAGATCTCTGTAAGGGGTCTAAGAATAGATGTGATTTTCTTCGGGATTGATGAGACAGAAACTCCACAATATCAAGCAGCAGAATATCCCCCCCAGGAGCATCCAGCACACTCAGGGTTGGCTCCCAGGACTCATGAGCAGTGGAGTCTCTGAAACTCTCTCTGAGACACTTAATGCTGCCAGCCCCAGAGGACTGGGACAAAGTCCAGTGAAAACTGCTGGGTGACTGTAGGGAGCCCAGAAAAATGCTGTGTCCAAAGGGCATATTTCTGAGAACTCCTGGAGAGCAAGGAGGTGCTTATTAATGTATTCCTGAGCTCAGCTTCATCTTCCAGATCAAGTGTCTGTAAGAGCTGCTGAGTCCTCGAGCTGCTCCTTCCCAGTGATTAGGGTGGCTGAAGAGCCCATTACTCCAGAGCAGGCAGCATGGCTCACTCACAGCTTGTGGGGCTGATCTGGATGATTAAAAGGTGACACAAAAACCACAATGCGAGGCTGCAGCTCTCAGCAAGCCCTGCCTTGGCCCGGCCCTGTGGCTGAAGGGTGAACCCAAATCCAGTTCACACAGGAATCAGTCCCTGCCCCACCCCGAGATGCAGCACTCCTGTGAACATCAGCTCACCTGGACTCCAGCAGGAACACCAGGGCTTGTTTGTGGCAGGTCCTTTGGTGCCAGAGGAGGAGCTGCTGGCCAGCTGCACGTGAGGGATGGGGCCCAAGCTCTGAGCAAGCCCTGGGCACATCTGCAGCTGTGGGCCAGCTACAGAGCAGCCTCAAGAGCCCAGCACGAGTGAACTCAGGACCATGACAGCTCATGGGAGAGCCTTCCCCCTGGCTGACCCAGGGCTGGGTCCCCACCTCCCAGGGCTTTACCTTCACCTCCCACAGGACGCTGGTGCCCAGCACGGCCAGTTAAACTGAGCAAAGCTCCACCTAACACCATTCCCCACATTCCCTTGGCAAAGGGGCCAACAGCTCCCAAGCCGCCCCAGCAAAGGACAAATCATATTCTCTGTATCAGTATCTACAGCCTGTGAAGTTAAAAAGGCAACAAAAGCACACAGACAGAGTGCCAACCCCATTATCTAATCACATCCAGGATTTACATGCTAGGCAGGGTCCAGTACACACAGCTCCATTTGTATTTTGTGCTGAAGGAAGTGCCACTGGCAGCAATTCTGGGTCACATCTGTCTGCAGGACCTCGGCCCAGCAACCCTTCCTGGAGAAAGGTGAGTGCTTTGTTCAAGCATTTTCTGCTTCCACAACCACAGAGGATTTTTTTTTTTTCCAC